TCAAGTACCAACCAGACATTTAACCAAATCAACAGACAGACTCCAACTAAACACAACGACACCGTTTTCCTTCTTATTCAAATCCACGTTTGAACCTTGGCGCCAAACCAATCCTTTTCCTTCTCAGATTCGGATTCCCCAGCACCTACAGCTCAACTTCCTACTCCAACACTATAGATCCATTGTATAATACAAGTTGCAACCATTTCTTAATCCTCCAATGATCATTAATCATTATCTAGTTTCGATATCTCTCTCCATAGGGACGGACGGTGAATGCTAATGAATGATGTCTACTATGCTAATGGAGAGGGACTGTGGAAGCCATACTGTATTCGAATTTTTGGGAATTTCCTCGTTGAAAAGCAATGATCAAATTGATATCGCTAAATCAAGTCATTGGTTCGTCATTAAGATGTTGCCACCTCATCTTTGACGAACTTGTAACACCAACTATTTTTTTTTCTTCTGGTTTTTCACGTTTATCAATTATGATGATAGCCAATGAGGTGAACACTAGTTATTTGTTTACTGTAATTAAGTTAAGTAAGGTTCTATTTACACGAGAATATGTTTCGAGAGATAGAGTTCTACATATATGTGCTCCAGATTGATCGGTTGCTGAGTTTACTGGATATGGTTGATGGTTAAATACATTCAAATTATGTGCTAAATAACTTCACATTATTAAAAATCATTGCACAGTACACACCCAGAAGCAAGTGTAACTCTATATATAACCAAACAGATGATGGTTTTAGTTAAGCGAGAATCTCCACTAGCCACACTCGAGTGTTGAGTGCATTTCTTGACTGACTATTACCTTGGTATTAAAACACAATATGAGATTCATTTATTCCAATTTTTATATTCATGTGATTTTGAAGAAGAAAAGGATTCAATAAAATATATGCTCTCGTACCATATGTTATGTAATCTTGCCAAGGGGAACCAAGTACAAAATCGTCAATAAGACCACAAACATAAGCCAAATATAGAAGTATGGAGTGATTATCATGATTGTGAAACATTATTCTGCATTTATGTTCGAGTCATTTATAAATCAAAATCCCGTTCTATGATATATATGCCACATGGATAATTTTTTTTTCAAATTTCGAGTTTCTGATAAGAATTTTAATTTAAGATAATTTGTTTAAAAAAGTTAAACAATTCTGCCAACAAATCGAATCCAAATAAGTGAGAAAAAGTAAAGAAAATAATACTTCACATAACAATAAATTAAAATTATACAGAAATGCGTAGGTTGAATTTATTTATGTAAATAAAAATAAAATAAAAACGGAAAATGCAGGACAACAGGAAAGCTTTAATTTGATCAACATCATCGTACAACTGACGTGAGGCAGGCCGACAGCCCACGTGACGCCATCACCCCACCTCCTGCCCTAATCTATCATCTATGTCCAGTCACTTCCAGTTTTTGGGCCCAGGCCCACTGCCTAATTCACCTTTACCCTGTCTCCAAAATTGGTAAACAAACACTTATTCATTTCTCCATATATTAAGTAATCCTCCATTATATAATATTATAAATAGCCCTATTCAGAGATGGAGGTAAATGGAATAGTAGTGGTAGCAGTGAGTTAGTCATAGGGATGGCAATGGGTCGGGTTGGGGCGGGTTTTGTCAAACCCAAACCCATGGGTTTATCCGCCAAAAAAATTTGGGGTAAAACCCGTTGGGTTTGAAAAACTCAAATCCAACCCAACCCGCTGGGTATCCGCGGGTTAATGGGTACCCGTGGGTTTTTATGGTAAAAAATTTATAAGAACAAATTTCTTTCAAAATAAAAGTTTAACATCAATTTTCTCATACAAATTATTCATACAAAAAATACCAATCTAGAACATACAAGCAAACCGCAAACGATCAATACAAATTGTTCAAAATTAAAGATAAACATCTATAAACAACAAGATTAATTGAAATCTTCTTCCTATATCAACTTCATTCTAAATAATTAGAAAGAACAAATTATACATGTCTCCACAAACATAAATAATATTAGTTGTTTAAAAAAGATATATTATTTAGAATATTAAATATACCGTGAAAGTAATTATATGTGTGGGCGGGTACCCATGGGGCGGGTTTACCTAAACCCAAACCCAACCCAACCCGGTGAAGAGTGTAGCGGGTTTAAACCCGAACCCGGTCCAAAACCCGTCAACACGGGTTTTACCCGCGTTGACCGGGTTGGATCGGATGGGTACCCTTGGGTTCGGGTTTTGTTGCCATCCCTAGTTAGTCACGTCACCAAAATAAAGGATATCTCGAAAGAACAGGGTTTGTCATCCACCAGATAATCAGCCGTCGGCAAGTTAGTCTAGTGGACTAGGTTGTATAGTAATGTAAGAAGCAACAGGGATTAACCAAGGTTGTCAAATAGATTTAATTTATTGAGCCGGTAAAGTAGGTGCTTTGAAATTTAATCGTTTGATCGGGGTCTGATACGTTTGAAGTGTTTTATACATTTTCTAAATATATATACTAGTAATTTAAAATTTTAATATCTAAAATAAAATTTAGTTTATATGTATCCGTTAAAAACTCACCTTCCATTAAAGAAAATCTATCTTACACTCGTGAGTCGGGACCCACCCACCATCTCCCCTTTTCTTCTCCTTCCTCTTTAGGAGTCGAATTGTTGGCTTTCTGAAGGTCGTCTTGAAGCCCGACTTTGATCAAACTGGGTCCAACCGGCATTATGCCGATTGAGGTTTGACAACCTTGGAGTTAACACATAGTCATTGTATCTATGCGTGCTCGGTCGGCTGCTAATTAACGATAGTCGAATTGGTATAAGAGTTATGCCAAGCAGCATACTTGTAACAAGAAGAATAAAATGGTCAACAAAAGATGGAGATGTTGGGACTTTAAGGGACAAGGGTATACGTACGATAGCCCGAGACCGGGTGACCAGGATTATGATAGAGTCGTGAACTACGTTCACTTTCCGAAAAGAATATTTCCACCCTCTACAAAGTCTTGGGTTACAGGAAATTTCTCCCGAGGATAAAACTATCACCACTTTATGTTCTAGGCTCCAGAACTCTAAAGCATACTTAGAAGCTTTTGATGGAAGAAGAAGAATCTGTTTGATGGTGTGTGGCATATAGATTTTCGTTTTACTGGAATAGGACCACCCCACACATATTTATAAGGGCCGAATCCATGCATTGTTTCATGAAAGGTTTTCTTTATCCATATGAAAGTGTTTAAGCCTGGAATGTACCAGGCGTTTGATGAAGAACGAGTAAGGCTCCTGTTCCAGCTGGTGGGTGTACTCCAAGCTCCTGCAAAACAAGGGTCCGTGGGCGGTCGCCCTGGACACCCTCCGATGCTAAAGTTAGGGAGAGAAGAGAGATTTTATGTTTTATGTTTAGAGAGAGAGAGAGAGAGAGTAGTTGAGTTACCATCAATGCAGATATGAATGTATTTATAGTAGGTTAGTCTGAGTTTTGAGCATTAAATGCTATGTCAGGCGTCTAGACCAGTCCATGCTTTATCTAGACCGCCTGCGACGGGCAATTAATGCCCAGTCCTGCAGTGTTCGAGGCAAAGATCCTAGGAAGATCTTCTTCCTCTGTCAACAACGATTCTTTGTGTCAGGCGGCCTACTCCTTGTCCCATCGTAGAGCGGCCGCCTGCCGTTCTCCTTTCCCTATGTCCGCTCCTTCCCTGGGCCCCTTGCTGGGCAAGCTAGATCTGCTCAATCTCTCACACTTCTTGTTCATTGGAGAAAAAAAAAAAAAATTAACGGAGGGATGCTCTGTTCCATCCGACTTCGATTAGATTAACAAGTAATTGAAAATTATTTTTTAACCGATCATTATTAGGTGACGTGTGGCCTGACAGCAACGCTACGGGCTGCAACCCGGATTGCTACCAAATTTCGCACATAAATAATATACTGAACTGACATCATACTATTATAATTTCACCAAAATTATAGCTGGTACCATCACGAATTATAAGTTTGATCACTACATAAAATCAGCTGACATGATTTTATCACAACTTTTGATTACCTTACAGAATTGAATCACGATACATGATTTTTATATATGGTCCGTATACTTGAAACATCTCTACTCTTGAATACTGTTTTTCTTTGTGAAACCAACGGATTAAGGATGACAACTTTGCCCATACCCATGGGTTTCTTACTATCCAACCTAATTGGGTTGGGTATGAAATCCAAATAGATGGATATGGGTAGAGTTTGATGGGTTTCTACCCATACCCATTTACTTTGGGTAGGGTTGGGTTTATATCAAATGGATTTGGGTTTGTACCCATGCCCAAATACAAATTACAGTTTGGTACCCAAACTTAATAGATATGCATATTTAGTACCTAAATTTAATTTTGGGTAAATACAATATATTAGCCACAACTATTATAAAGTGGGGAATTATAGCCATAACTATGGAAATTCAAATTATTAGCCAAACGTTAACTATTTGTTAACAATGTCGTTAGTAATATTGACTAAACTTTTATGTTTCAAAGTTATAAATTAAAAGCAGTCCGACGTGGCTGTTGCCATGGCCGATGATGTAACCTTCTAAGTTAAAAATTCAATAAAAGTAATGGAAAGTTAGCCATATCTTGACCCGCAACAATAGTTATGGCTAATAATTTGAATTTTTATAGTTGTGGCTATAATTCTCCACTTCATAATAGTTGTGGATAATATATTGTATTTACCCTTTAATTTTTTTTGCATATAAGTCCTCAAAATATTGATGGAAAATTACGCTTTGGTACCTAAATTTTTTTGGTCTTACATTTTGGTACCTAAACTTTTCAAGTTTTACATATAGGTCCAATTTTTGCATGTGTAGTTAAAACACACTCAAGTAAATGGATATCCATATCCAACCCATACCCATTTATATTATGGAAGCAATATGCATACCTAACCCAAACCCATCTATAAATAGGGCTGTTAGCGGTGCGGTTAACCGCAGCCGAAGACGCCACTGAAACGTCAACCGCAACCGCAGTCGAAGGGAGGTGCGGTTAACCGCAAACCGCAACCGACGGTTTCGGTTTGTTTGTGCGGTCAGTCGAGACTGATGGCCGTCGCGATCTCCACCCTGCTCACCGCCGTTTCTTCTTCCTCCACTTCCACCCCTTCCGCAGAGAACGTCGTCTCTTCCCTCTACCGAATCACCCTCTCCTCCCACAAGAAATGCCTCTTCTTATCCGTCACTGATAGTGACCAAACCATTGAGGGGAAACAGAGGACTCACATAGGAAAGGGGCGCGCGACGGACGATGGGATTGAGGGTCGACGTCGTGAATCGCAGGACTGGGGGCGACGACGAACGGCAGGACGGACGAAGGCTGGGGCGGAGCGACGCTGACGCGAGGTGACTGACGATGGCGGCGACAACGATTACGACGGGCCGACGGCTGCAGTGGGGACGCCGGGGTAGGGCGATGACGACGTCTGCAGCGTGGACGCCGCGCCGGAGAGGGGAGGTCAGGGAACAAGGGAATGGGAGGGTAGTGACGGGGCAGGGTGGGAGACTTTCTCCCGCTGGAATTGGTATCGCGAATTAGGGTTGCGGGAGGATTTGATGGACTGGGACGCCTTGGAGATGACGAGGCGAGGACGACGACAGGCGGCCGGGAGGGCTGGGGTTTGTTGGGGAGGAAATCGGAGGAGGTGGTGGATTGGCGGGCGGAGAAATTTTTGGGAGGTCGAATTTAGGGTTCCCTTTCAGTTCTACTCTGTAATCGCGACAAGAGGGAGACCTAGGCGAGGGCACGACGCGGTTTGGCCAGGTGAAGTGGGATTCGTGGTTAGGGCGGTTAACCGCGCGCGGTTTCGGTTATGACCTCCAACCGAATTTCGCCTCCTTCGCCAGGAATTGACCAACCGCAAACCGCATTAATATTTCGGTTTTCGGTTAACTATAAAACCGACATTTTCGTTTCGGTTTTCGGTCCAACCGAGTAACCGCTGACCGATTTTTTTCGGTCCAACCGAGTAACCGCTGACCGATTAACAACTCTATTTATAAACCCCCAAATCTATATGCACTTCACCCATACCCAACCCATTATCAATAGGTCTACTTGGGTTTGGGTATAATTATCCATGGGTGGGTAATTTGCCATCCCTACAACGGATCACTGGTGTATACAATTTCTTTCTGCTTTGTATTCTCCAGCCGCCGTCCGCCGGCCATATTGGCCTGTTACAATTTACTTTCCCGGGGAGCGCCGTCCCTTATTAATGATCTACTCATCCAGTATATGAGTGATGGTAACTCGTAACTAAACTACCGTATGTAGTGGAAATCTAATTTAAGTCCCAACGTGGTGCTGTGGGGAGTCCGATGGACAATGTCGTCTCCACCGTCGAACTTTCATTGCTCAGTCCCACGCTGCTTCCCGCCGCTGCCGCTGCCGCCACCTCGTTTTCTGTCCCAGCTCGTCTCGACGGTTCCCGTGGATTCCCACTACACTGAAATTTCAGGAAAAAACAATTTGTGGTGAATGGAGAGCTCTGAACTGATGTCACCATGTCCAAAACTCCCATCAATTTTTTTTCTTCCAACTATGTTAAACTGACCTTTTCACATAAAGTTTCCTTCTGTTGTAGCAACTCCCTTTCCTGCAAACAAAATTTCAGATTTTACAAACGATCTCATCCTGAATATATACAGATAGTTTTGTCAAGAACCAGTTAGTCCCAATAACTCGAGCTGTTGAGAGAGGTTCAATCGTGGATCATATACCACAACACTAATAAGTTTTTGTGTATTCAAATAGCTACCAAAATGAGGAAATTGAAGGGTGGGTAAAAAAAACTGACACTCTTACAAAAAAAAAAAAAAGTTTCCAAATTTGAACTATCATCACGGCACTACATGGATGATCATACCTGTAACCTTAGTTGCTTCATCTGCTCCATGAACATCTCATCCTGAACATTTTGAACCCAACACGAGGCGAAAGATCACTAACTGGAAACTTATTTTCATCAAAGGAAAGTTTACTGAAGATCATTAACTGGGAACGGTACTTTCTCATGAGTACTGCAAGTATGTGTTAATGAATGGTGCATATGAGTACATACTTTTCTGAGTCGAATGTTTGCTAAGCTTCTCTCCAACTGCTCGCTTATGTTTCGGATCTCTTCCAGGGAGCACGACCCCAATTGTTCTCCCAAAAGCTTCCTGTTTATATATGGTACGTGATGACACCCATTGCAGTAACTGTGCAAGTTAGCTTATGTTTATACCGATTCTGCAGATGATCAACTAGTTTCGATCGGTTAAGAAAGAAAAGAAAGAAACCTTCTGGAGGCCTCAAGCTGCTCAATCTTCTTGGCCATAGAAGCGGATTCTTGCTTCAGTTGCTGCATTCATGTGGATTCAACTACACTATTGAGGATAGAAGAAGGAAGAAGCAAATACTCATGAACATAGAGATATAGCATTCGATCGTCAGGAGGACTGATCACCTGAAAGCTGTGATAATCTGTATCCTTCAGCTTGTCCACTCCCACTGCTGCATACTTTTGGTACCTTGAGATCGTCTTCTGCATTCTGAAAAAAAAAAAAAAAGGCCATTTGCCGGAGAACACACACGTAATGTAGAGATGGTTGTAAGTTTTATTAGTTTTTTTTGTAAATTTTGATGCACTTTAGAGTTGTGATTTAAATATGTTCATCTGACTCCTTTTTCTAATTACATACAATCAATAAACTCACAAGGACTATATTAGCTCCGGATCTAGAAGAGGCATGAGCCGTGGCCCGGGGTAGCCACCCCTAGATCCGCCACTATTGTTAGGGTTATTAGGAGTTTAGGACCAACTGGTTTCTTGACATGGTATCAGAGTCTTTTGTGACCAAGAGATGTTCTGGTCGAATCCCGGTAACCGCCATATGTTAAGCACATGATATTCAAACATGTGCAAACTTCAATCCCATATATGAGTCAACTTTTGTTTGAGGGGACGCATTAGTAAATGTTATATGTAATAAGGTCCATAATTGAACATCTCCCAACATCTCAAGTTATTGAAAAAAGTTGGGTTATGACGAATCAAAGTAAAATTTGAATTGTTTTTTGCAAATTCATACATTTTCTTGTTTGTTATATTACTATTAGATTTTGTTTTTATTGCATTCACTTTATTCATCGTTTCTTATTCATCATATCTGATTAACTATTTGAAGAGATTTTAGATACTTATTTGAAGTAAACAATGCATTATTACATGTTCTAACTCCTAAGTATATATATATATATATAGGACGGTTAATGAACCAAACTGCTAATGAACGGCTCGACGTCCGACTTGAGAAAAACTCATTCAACACTCGATTCGTCTTAATCAAGTCGGCTCGCAAACAAGCTCGTTAGCTAAACGAGCCGAACTCGAGCCATAACATGTTCAACTCGAAAGCTCGCGAACAAGCTCATTTAACGGTTTGGCATCATAAAAGATTAGAATTCATGGATTTTATGTATTGAATTTGTGATAAATATTATGTTTTATTTTGCTAGACTTTGCTACAGGTTTGAATGTACTTTTGTTCTCAGTTCTAGGTCAATCTTGAGCTATCATGAACGTTTTATGAGCTGAACTCGATTTTGGACTTGTTAAACTTATTTGACGAGCCGAGCTCGAGCTTCCATTTTCATAAACGAGTCGAGCTCGAACTTGCATATTAAAGCTCGTAACGAACATGAGCCGAGCTCGAACTTAGAAATATTTTAACAAGCCGAGCCCGAACTATGACACAACTCGGCTCAGCTCGGATCATTAACAACCCTATATATATAAAAGATTAAAATCTATTAACCCAGAAGGCTATAAAGGGATCTGAAACATCCTAAGTCGTGTTTCGTTGAAATAAAATCTAGAATGTGTCAACTCAAAGCTATCATCAACATTATCGAAGTCATCTTAATTTATCAGCAGTCAGCTACATTACAATGATTAAGATGGGGGACTCATTTGAATATAATATGTATATATAGTACTTCAAGAGCGTTACAACTATCTTCAGTTTTTTCATCTAAGATTATAATGTGTGTATTCACGCATACTTACAAAAACATTGTAAAGCGATAGGATAAGAACTATTAAGCTCTGTCCCTCCATCAAATTTTAGGTTTAATAATGAGAAGCTGTTACAATTTGTTATTTTCAATTCAATCATCACTCTGACTTCACCACTGCCCACATTCAAAGTAAAAAAAATCCCCTTTTCAACTTAAATTGAAGAAGAATTGGCTCAATTGGAAATCTTCTCTTATTTCTTTCAGCTAATATTCATTTTTAGTGAGTTTGCTTTCACCAGCAATGAACAATGGTGTTCGTACCGTTATCATGGTAATTATAAAATTAATTAAGTTTAATCGATCAAACTAATACAATAACTAAATTAATCAATTACATTTTAATTGGTTTGGTTAATTGATTAATCAAGTTAACCAATATATTATAACATTATCAGTAAAAAAAAATATCTTGTTAATTGATCAACCCATGATTTATATAATGAATAAAATATAACAATCAACACATAGTTAACCTTTAAAATAAATACGTGCAAATCATACAATTATCTAAGAGTCACTAGAAGTAGCCACCTAACAAAAATACATGCGAATAAATTGAGTGTGTCTGTATTAATTCTCTTAGTCACTTAGCAATTATCAGAAGGTGAAAAAGTCATTGTCTTTCAGGTTTTAATCTATAATGTATGAGTTTTATCTAAATTTCTTGCTCATATGTTGTTGTCTACACTATAACAAATAGGACTTTGCTACGGTGACTTGGACAAAACAGTTGACCTCTTCGCTAATACGGTCGACCTCTTTGGACAAAATGGTCGACCTCTTTGCTGGAATTGTAGACCAAATGTACTATTTTCCATTTTGCTATATTCAACAATCAATCGACCTCATAAATACAACGATCAATCGCTATAGCATTGTCTTGTTAGTGTTGAACTGGGAATCCTACGGCAAAGAAAAAAATACGTCAATCATTGAGACAAACAATCAAACGGTGGGACACCTTATGAGTATTCGAAAAGAACTTTGCTGCGATGATTTGCAAGTCTAACATTAAAAAGGTATTAGTAGTAAAAAGGACTTTCCCTACCATTGAATCCGACCTAATTTTAGCATAGACGTCTACAAATAAGCATATAAGCTCTAGATTTGCCATTCATTAACTCAGATAATCATATTGTTCTAGGTTTAGAGTTTGATGAAGAAGAAATCAGGTGATTGTGAAGTACCTGTATATTGACAGGTCAACCAAATTGTTAGGCCGATCGACCTCTTTAGGGCACACTATCGATAATGTTGGTTACTTGGTTTAAGATATGCATCATCAATTGGTCGACCTCTACATTGAGCGGCCAATCAGTCTCTTAGTCATATCATAATTTCCACAGTTTTAATTTGGTGTTTTGATTTGCTTCTCAGAGTATCAAGCCAACCACTCTCTCAATCCACTCAACCTCTTTGAAAAAAAGATCGACCTTTTTGGACAAAATAGTCTACCTCTTAGTTGATATGGTCAGCCTCTTCGCTAGAATGATCTACTATTATGCTTGTGAGTCCCTTATAAATGGTCGAGCTATGTAGGTAAATGGTCGACCGTAATTATCCAATAGAATAGATATGTTAATGTAAGTGGTCGACCCCGACTTCCATCTCGTCGACCATTTTTTCCAAGTCATGGTAACTTGCAAATCACCATAGGCATACCCTAACAAATATAGTATAGGAACAATATAACTTTATTTTTTTGGATGAATCTAAAAGGGAGGAAACTTTGATTCTTAAGTGGCTATGAAAAGTATGAGTATATAATTAATATATTAGATATACGACTTATTGTTTAATTTGTTTGAATGGTTATAAATGTCTGAAATCAAACCAAACCAAACCACGTAAATCAAATAAGCTACATTTAACCAAATCATCCAAATACTATCGATTAAAATGGTTATCCGTTTGAAACTAGGAGGAGGATGGATTCTAAGGCTCAGTTAATCCATACCATATATAGTTTTCTCAAGAGTGTGCGTTTGTTATTCATTAATTAGCCAAAAAAGAGCAGACCGCGTAGCTGCAGCAGCTTACTCGTGGTTGGAGAACTCGGAGAGCCTCCCTCGCTGGGAGAAGACGATGACTGCGATTTCGGCATCGCACAGTACGGACAGCTCGTGAGCTTTCTTCATCAGCCCGCTCCTCCGCTTGGAGAAGGTCACCTGCCGGCTCGCCGCGTTCTCGATCCTCCGAAGCTCCACTTTCCCCCTCACCATCCGATCAATCTCTGTCCACAAAATCAATTAGCTGTTCGATCCAAACTCCAAGTCAAGATGAAACCCTAAGAAAAATTAAAATCGATGGGATGAAACTCCAAGTCAATTGTAGAACAATAGCTTAGCGTCCCGCAATTAGCTAGTCACCTGCTTGCGAAGGAGAGGATTGCTTGGGCCGGCCACGGGAGGAGACGCCGTGATCAAAGGGAAGAAATCACCACAGGAGAAAAGGAAGAAGAATAAATTGGGGGGTATCTCTTTAGTCTGAGGGTACAGAGCAGGAGGACGACACTAAAATGGGAATAAGATATGGCTTTTTTGGAGGCCAGTTTCCCCTTTTGCCCAATATCTGCTCCGTCTTTCATTGTTTCTTTTTGGGGTTTTCTAGTTCAACGCAGACCAGGAGTAGAGAATATTTACATTTCAGCAGGGAATGGAAGGGAAGGGAAGGGAAGGGAAGGAGAATTCAGTGGGGAGAAATTTACTTGTTACCGCAAAAATGAAGGCGCCAGTCCGTACGGAAACAAATAGTTTCTTGCTCAATTTTGGAAAATTTAAGAATGGGGCCTAATAAATTAAATAAACAAATTTGATTCCCGAAAAAACTTCAGAAAATAATAATGGCTGTGATGAACGAACAACAGACCAGAAACAGCGGCGGATCCAGAACACAGAAGAGTACTGGGCCGCATTTCATTAGAAAATTAGAACCATAAAAAAATATAATGATTATAGTTTTTTGCAATGTAAATGGTACACGACTGTATTTTAATTTAGGGAATGCATCAAGGAGTCTACATCCATACCAATAGTATACACTGTTTCAAATAAAATACTTGAGCAATCGGCGAGAAATTCATCGCTCATTTTGTTGAGCAAATCAGTTCTCACATGTTTCATTGTTGAAAAGGTTCTCTTCGTAGTAGCTGTTGAAACTAGCAGCATCAACACTAGACAAATCAATCGACTAATCAATTTGCACTGGGTGTTCATCCCTGCACACCAGCTACTCTAGTAAATTTTTAAGGGAACAAACCTCATATTTCTTTTAGTCTTTTACGTTTTAAACTTTTTAGAATTTTAGGTTTATTTGTTTTTTTAGATGCATAATCTTTGGGGCTAAAATTTCTAGGCTAAATTTAGAGTAGTGATTTGAATATGTTCAACTTGATAATTTTTCTAGTTAAACCCAATCATATCATAAAATAACACTGGTTCGAATGTCTAAAATCAAAAATTTCATAAGTACTATACTAACTACGGATCCAGAGGAGGGCTGGGCCGGGGCCCGGGGTGGCCACCCCCTGAATCCGCCAGTGACCAGAAAAGGTAGCGGTTGGGAGGCAGGGATGGGCCCCAAAGAAAAATATATAATCGTTATTTTATTAATACTTCGTATTTTCATATTTAATTTTTGAAAATACGTACCCTAATCATCCAAATATACAATGGTTACTCTCAACATATACTATAAAAAAATCATTCAACCTTCATCGCTCATCCGACTTTGTAGTGTGCACTTCATGTAGTTCATTGAATGAGTGAGGGTTTGCCAACAAATTCTTATTTAAGGGAGGAGAAGTCCACGGTGAATTATGCATTGAGAATTTGGAATAATTCATTAGAAGTAGGTTTTATTTGATTGCAATTTATTTTTATTTTTAAAATTTGGTTTTCTATATATTGTATGAAAGGTAAATATTTATCACAGGATTCCTTGTAGTTCACAAGTAAACATCTAGTGGATACTGGGTTTGATCCAACTAAAGACAATTTACGACCAAATTCATAAGACATAAATCAATTTGTTCATAAGTCGGTAGTCGAGTTGACTTAACAATGTTGAGACGAGCTCAAAATGAGACGATCAAATTAAACTCAACAAGCCACATAATTGAACTGGCTCGCGTGTCTCTCAAGTTGAACAAGACATATTCAGACTCAAATCATTAGTACACGAATTGAGATTGCAACGTAACTTTTTATTTCAAATCAAACATCAAACAACTTGTGAATAACTCATCTCATTAGTAGCCCTACTCAGCATGGACTCGTCTGCACCTTGTCATAAACATCCTACAAGTAAATATCGCATCATCGATTGCAGTGCTATGATTTCAATGGCTTCAACTACACAAGAAGGCCAAGTAACTTAGCGGAATCATTTCAATAAAATTCGATACAACATATACGCTCGAGTCTATTTAATCATATCCCTTAACAATGTCAACGAAATTCATGCAACCGGACCAAATATCCACATTAACCAAGGTGCTTTCCATGTGTTTTAAGTCTAATGACGTTTACTTAAATTTACGCTAATTGTTTGGTATCTTACTAGACAAAAGCAAGTAGTACTTTTTCCTATTGTGCGCGATGAGTGATTTGGTTTTGATGATAGTTTAGTTGAGATGGATACAATATTTGTATTGTACACAATATTTTTTTAAAATTTTATTCACAAATTATACGAATATTGTTTGGTTGATGTAAGAGAAGACATTACTCCAAAAGAGTGATAATCAAATTTCATATTATAGATGAGTTTTTAAGATTTTATTTTTGTCACTAACTCACTTGCATTATGAAGATGAAAGATAGAGAGTTTATTACATCACTGAATTCGCCCAAGAGTGAAATTCAAACCCTGAAATACTAATAGGACAGTGGACACAATAAAATGACCTTTTTAGCCACCAAGTAGGCTACCAGATCGCCCTGCCTACCAATAAATCAAATCGAGAAATTCACGACACTGATGCTTCAATCTGTTAATCTCCATCAAAATAGCACCGCCTTCCGCATCGATCGTCACATTTCCTCGAATTTTGTCAATCATCATATGCGCGTCACCCTGGAATTCTACTTCGTGAAGATTATTGAGATAGTGCGAATGAGATAAGTTGAGTTTTTTTTATTGCAATGATCCTCAAGTAGATTTTGTTGTAAAATTACTTATCATATATCCCCAATTAGTGAATAGCAAGGATCAAAATGGCATACCATACCAGCGGTTTGACCTGAAAAACCTTCAACCGGAAGCAAAATCGGTAGGCGATATTTAATGATATAATACGATTGAATAATACTTAAAGCACAATTTTAACATAAAATATTCTAACGCTGATTTTTCCGGTACGATATTTCAATCCTTGGTGAATAGACACCACTATACCGCCATCACGCTACAGATCTGTTTTGCCAAAACCACTGGCTGAGAGATGATAAGTGGTATCCATTATCACAATAAAATAAAGGAAGAAAACAGGGAATCCAAAATAGTTTTTTAGAAAACTGTGCAAATGAAAGGGAAAATTAATTAATTTAAAAAGATGGGGTAAGCTTTGTCAACATCATCGTACAATCGACGTGCATCAGGAGCGAATTGTATGGGCTGTGGCGGAACAGCACGTCAGCCAATGGCTACGCTGCCACGTGACCCCACCATTACCTTTGTATTCCACTAATTAATTACTTAATTCGTGTTTACTCTGCCCACTAATTCACAATTAATCACAATTTTCACCTAAATTATCCTTTTTCGTTCATCAATAAACGCCAAGGTTGTCAACCTACTGTCTGAACCGGGCCGATCAAGCTAGTAGGTAAAGGGTTAATGGATCAACCGTTGTAGCCCGGAAATTAGAGATGGCAATGGGTCGGGTCGGGGGCGGATAGTGCATATCCGTTACCCTACCCAATGTACTTCGGGTTTTACCCATACCCGTACCCATACGAGAAACGGGTAGAAAATCAAAATCATGCCCATACCCATTCGGGTTTCGTGTATCCACGGTTATCCATGGGTAATAATTTCTCCTTATAATTTCAACCAATATGTTAACATTCACACGTATAATCACATGACGTAAGAGGAAAAGTACGACAATAATTCACTAGAATGACAAAAATTAATTAAAACAACATAATTTCATGAAAATATTATATTTATATGCTAAATATAAAATATTCTAGAGAAAAATAATGAATATTTCTAGACAAAATACATATGCATGTGTATAATCGGGCGGGTTCGGGTTGGATAGTGAGATAACCATGCCCACCCATTACCCGCAACATTCGGGTTCGGGTTTTACCCGTACCCACGAAAAATGCTTCGGGTTCGGGTTTTACCCTACCCGATTAGGTCGGATTCGGGTGGATATCCACGGTTACGGATATTTTTGCCATCCCTACCGGAAATATGGAAAAAGTCATTATATTGTACTTATCCTGATAAATTATATCAAATCTCATCTAACATTTGAGTTATAACATATAATATTACACCAAAATAACATGTCGTACTTAGATCCAACATATAGTGAAAATTCACATATACTTTTATAACATCAGTATTCAAATGTTCAACTTAAGATTCCAAAAATCGAGTCAGGCGAAAAGAAAAATCGAAAATAGGCGCATTTCGCAAACCAAAGAAAAAAATAACACAATTTGACTCCAACCTGGTACCTTGTAGCGGTCGACCCGACGAATACGTGCGGTCCGTTTTTCTTACCAAGTCAGGGTCAAAGTAGGTCGACCCACGGGTTGACAACTTTTAACAGCTGTTACGAATTTTCCTTTGCGGAAGTTTGGGAACCTCTCTCTCTCCTCCATGATTTTTCTTTTCATTTTTACGTAAAATATAACTCACGAAAATATATTGCTAAATTTTTTCCAATAGATTTGTGAATACGTGCTCACAAAGGTCATCGGATGGTGTGTTCATATGTAGATCGATATGGTGTCATTTATCAGCAGCGATAAAAAAGAGTTGAGCCACAACTTTACATAATTTGAGAAACGAAAAAGAAAAGAAAGAAAAATGAAAGGAAAAGGGCTCTTGTTTTGTGTTCTGGGCTTGTGGCCTCATAGTAGGGCAGTGGCTTCGGCCCAATACTAACTAGCCGTGGCCCATAAGGGTTCTACTCCGATCCACCATTTCGGAGCCCAATGCTCGCACGAACCCACTCCCAGTAATTTCAGTTGGCAACTATTATAATGCGCAGCACAGAACTCGTAGCTGACCGGAGAGCAAGAAAGGCGAAAAAATGGCAGAAGCCGGAAATAGCGGCGGCGGCGCGAGGAAGAGAAAAATGGCCGACAAGAAAGATTCCGGCGGCGTCCGTAAGTCAGCACCAGATTCAATTTGGCCCGCCGTCAAACACAAGAAAAATCTCCTAATCAATCGTCTCAAAGATTCCGACCTCTTCACTGTACGTTTCTTCAATCACCCATCTTACACCGATTCATTTGTTCTAGTTAAACGTTGATTTTGGGAACCCAGGGAACTGATAATCAATATTTTTGCTCTGCGATTTCGATTTCGATTTCTCGGCGCAAAGATTGAATTAATGTGTTTTCTAGGTGCCAGAATTCTTGTCAGCAGCTGAATCAAATGCGTTCATCAGAGTTGCAGAGTCGATTGGATTCGTTCATCAGGGCAGTCTTGGTCCGACGAAGGGAGAAGCTTATAGAGACAATGACAGGATCTCCGTGAACGATCCTGTTCTAGCAAGCACGCTTTGGGATTCTGGGCTTAGCAAATTGTTCTCTGACATCAAGATTAGGGGCGAGCTTGCTGTTGGGTTGAACCCAAACATCAGATTCTACAGGTAAACGAAAGGATATACTGTAATCAGTTACTGAAGCTTGGGGGAGATTGTACTGTGTCATCAAAGCTATATGCTTTTGGTCAGGTACAAGGCTGGTCAGCGATTCGGGCGCCATATCTATGAAAGTGTAGACATTGGGGAAGGGAAGCGCACTTACTATACTCTCTTGATATACTTGAGTGGTAGTTCTAAAGCCAAGGCTAATAAGAGTGAGTTAGATAGCCAGAAGGATGCATCCATAGAGCCTCTAGTTGGTGGAGAGACTGTGTTCTATGGCTGGAGGAACAATGTAGTGGCCGAGGTGCCTCTTTTTCTCTTTGATCTATAATCTTCTTTTGTTTGTTTCTTGGGCATTGGTTTCGATTTCACTTGCTTGAACAAGTTTTTTTTTTATTTTTTTATAATGCACTTGCTTGACAAGTTATATCGGTGTTCTTGTTTCTTACTGTGCAGGTAGCTCCTGCTGAAGGGATGGCTCTGCTGCATATTCATGGCGACAAATGCATGCTGCACGAAGCTAGGAATGTGTCGAAAGGGATCAAGTATGTGTTTCGGTCTGATGTGATCTTTGCTTGAACTTTGGAACATGAAATGTAAGTCTTGTACTTGTACACGAATAGAATCAATCGATTGATTGCTAAATTTATTTAGAGTAGGGTTACAAACTTGCAGGCTACGGCCTTAAGCTTCACAGGGCTCTCCAGGATTGTAAGGTGTGTGAAAATTGTTTACAATAGATCAGAAGGGATGAAAGAAATATGAAAAACAAATGTGTAGAAGTAGCTCAATTTAATCTCAGTTGGCAGAATGGCATTTGAGCCTAACCTCTCCCTTCTCAATCACTCCCACATTCCCAAGCTTCACCATTGAAGCTGCAAACTCACCAAAGAACAAACTCTGATCCTTGGCAAAGGCTTCGACGATAGACTTGGTCCTGTCATCAATAAACAACGCCTGGTCTGACCCGAATACACCTTTCCCCTGAGTGAGTTGTCTGAAATACTCGTTATCGAAGATTGATGAGGTCGAGTCCAGGAATGTTCCTGCACTGGGGTTGGTGTTGCCCTTCGGACATATCTTCCTCAACGCATCTGCCAACTGGAGATTCATGGTGGGGTCGATGTCGTGCATCGAGCTGAAGTTGCGAAGGCGTTTTTGGAAAGAAGAGCAGTGTGAAAACCCTAGGGTGTGGCCTCCAGACAAGGCGACCAAGTCCTTGACTCCTAAGCCTCTCTTGGCAAATCCCTGGATGAGTTGAGACACATTGAAAGATGGAGCTGGTAGGTTGATTGTGTCGCTGGCTTTCGACACCGTTCCGTCTTTCCTTCCTTTTAGAACGTTCCAGCTAGGCCCTCCAGACTGAAATTAACATCCGAATTACCAGAGCAAAGTAAAGATCCAGTCGAGAAAGCAAAAACCAAGCAAAGAACAGAGCCAAGATTTTCCACTATGTAAGTCAGTGGCTGTTTACCATGGCTACTACATCTCTAGCTGCGATAGCTATAACATCTGCACAAGAAACCATCTGTGGACATGCCATTTCGAGCTTTGCTTTGGCGTCATCGATCACGTAGAACGATCGGACCGAGACATTGGGAGGGCCATCTTTTTCGGCTTGGTTTCCAGGAGTAGCGTCGAGCAGGATAGATGCATCACAACCCTGTCAAGATAACCCATCATCAATCCTTCAAAACATCAAACTAAACCAACTGTACTAACCAATAAAACCCCACGAAACTAAAACAGACGGCATTGTACTGTACCCTTATGAAACAATCATGGAAGAACATCCTGAGGAGACGAGCGGGGACTTTGGGATCATAGATGGAGGCATTGCGAACTGTCTGCGAGATGATGGCCTCAGCCTGTGGACATGTTTGATCGTAGTAATGCGAATCCAGCACTGCTCGAGAAGCCGGAATCGTAAGCAAGAGCAAGGCCAGAGAGCAAACAACTCTGAAACTAGCCATGCTTGCTGGTGAGCAATGAAGTTGATGAAGTTCTCAGACCATAAACTGTACATATATATACTGATGGGCGATAATGAAAAGCAAAGACACAGAATTTATGTACTTGGAAGTCACTCAAAAGGGAAAATGAAGGTTACCGAGTCTGAGGCTGTCTATTTGGTTGTTTTGGCAGTACTCTATATTTTATTGGTGCCATTTTCCCTTGTGAGCTAAGGCTTTTGGTTGAATGTGGAATATGGGATGAGAGTGATTAATAGTAAAATACGTTTGGTGATTTGGGTGGTGGTTGGCTTATGCCTATCAATGATCTGGAAAGAAGATCCCAGTTGGTACTTGGTAGGAACGAGTAAACACAATTCATCTCCTTTATCAGCATCCTGATATGTCAAAATCTGACAAGAACCCAAGTGCAGTTGTGACAACCATGATTCCCAAGCTTTGTTTATCTGTCTTCTTCTTTATTGTCACTCCCTTCCCTGCACATCCTTTTGTTTCCAGAACTGCTGCCTTCTCTGCTTCACACTTGTCTGGGAACGAGATGTGTTGTAAGAATCGGTAGCTAAGAGAAATGTTGCTCCTATCAGCTAGTATTTGCACCAGGGTAGCTTCAATCTTCTCTCCTTTCCAATCAAACACATTGAAAGCCAAAGCAGGCCCCCTGTCGAATTTCACTTTTGGTCCATATAGTCTGACAAGGGGAGTTTCCTCTGTGTTTGGATGCTTAAGCTTCATCAAAGCGTTCAACAGTCAATTGATCAAGCATCTTCCTCTGCTACTGATCTCAGTCAGCCCTAAGATGAGAATAGTAAGAGACGGTTTTCGCATATCAGTAGTTTTCCAAGCGCTATGAAGTTCCAATGTTTTTCTTCCGGAAGGATGATTCAATCAATAGCATAGCATGGAGGAGGGAATGAATGCTTTTGTATCACAAGAAATGCATCATTTGACTGAAGAAAAAAACAAACCTATCAAAGAAGGATAAATAGATCCCAAAACAGATCGACTTACCCCAATCGGATTATATTTATTTGGCACATCGTTGTCAATATGAATCCACCTGATCCAATGCCCTAATTTTTTGTTAGTGAAAGTATCAAATTATGAGTATGATTAGGGCTGATAAAAGGTTATCTTGTTAACGGTGTAACCGATAATCGAATCGGAAGCAGTGGTTAACGGTTACACCGATAACCGATTAAACAGTAAACGGTCAGTTCCCGGTAGCTAAATTTAGCTAATTAATAATCGACAGTTAAACGGTTAGTTAAGACGGTTAAACGATTTATCAACTAAACGATTAAGGTCATCTTCATACACGGTCCGGTTACCGATTAAACGGTTAACCGACTAATATATACGATCCGGTTAACGATAAGCACAAAATGTTTAACGGTTAATCGAGAATCAACTAAACGATTCCAGCTATAACCGAATCGAACCGATTATCCGTGACTAACTATTATGTTTTCTGATTTTATGACATTATATCAAGTCAAGCTTGTGCTTGTGAAAAATGTAGGAAAGTGGATTCCAAGTCTTATTTTCTTTTCCCCGCAGACTGGTACGTGGTTTTGAATGGGCCAAGCCCATCAAACCCGGGCCCAAAATAGAAACACGGCGACGTTTAAGAAATCCTTCCACAAGTCGGAATCGGAAGCCACATTCTCCTCCTCTGTATCTCCTCTGTTCTGCTCTGTACACCGACACCCGAAACAGAGACACATTTTCCTTACCGACTCTCCTACTTTAAAATCTATATAAGTTCCAAATCCTCCAATCTCTTCAATTCCACAGGCAAACGTTCCGAAAATCATCTATTCCCAACTCGTAGATCGACCACAATGTCTCTGACGCCGAAGAACTCGTTCGCCATATTGGCCGACGCAGGCACGCTGGAGATCGTCAATCACGCCAACAAGGACCATTACTTGCATCAGAAGAAGAGCGGCTGCGGGCAGAAGAAGGAACAAGCGAGCCGGTGGTATGAGAATTACAAGCAGCGTCAGGAGGAAGAGCAAGCCTCCAAGCAAAAGCAGCAGCCCCAAAAGTCCAATTTTGTTGTTCTTGGTCACGGAAATAGCACTGAAGACAATAGGAACATAGGTAAGGGTGCGGTTGACAAGTCGCCGCCTTCGTTGCTGAAAACCTCCCGACTGCAGGGGAAGAAAGCGTCGTCCGGCAGCAATACTAGTAATGATAAGGGTAAGTTTAGCTCCGGCGGTGGTGGTGGTGATCATCAGATGAGGATTACGGCCAAGGGTTCGAACTCGAAAGCGTTTCGACTTGGTGGGGATTCTAAGGCAAACAGATCTTCTGAGTCTAATAATGAGGGGTTGAACAAGCAGAAGCAGATGAAGGAATTGAAGAACGACAATGGTGTGGTGGTGGAGAAAGAAAAGATTGAAATGCCAACGTTCAGATTTGATGATTTTGCTCAGTTTCCTGGTCTCGGTCGAACCCACTAAAGCCTTCTCCTGATGGATTAGTGATTTACTTGTATAGTTTCATTGGCGATGGAGGTATATTAACCCTTTTTCATTGATTGTATTATATCAATTGAAGGTTTCTCCATATGATGTGTGTTGTTCTCTTTTTGTGTTTAATGTTTAGAGCATATATATATGTTTAGTTATTTCTTTGGAGGGGGAAATTGTATATTAAACAATTAATATATTATTTTGTTCAAAAAATTATTAAATATACTACCAAGACTTTTTTTTAACTCAATATGTACATCTAGATAAAAAAATAACAAAATTTAATAGCTCAAACGTGAGCAATTTTATACATAAATTTATTTTTATTTTAAATTAATTATAAAATAAAATTAGTCAAACAGAAACTGAGTACTGAAACGGAAATCCAACATGAATTTATGTGGTATCCCTGCAATCACATGACTTTTTTTTTTTTGACAAAAGATAATCAACAGTATAATTTATAGCTGAAAAGTAAAACTGCACCCCCCATTCAAAATTTCCTGCCCATAGAGTGATTTTAGGAAGCTGATGTGGCAGAGTGTTAAGCGGGAAAAAAAAGGAGTCCCGCCTGATTTCAGAACCAAAAAACTGTCAATTACCCACCTTTTCTCCTTCCAGGCCCACGTTCTCATTTAATTTGTATTTATTTTTTATTTCCCAGGAAGGAAATGGTCCACTGAAGAAGCGTGCAAAACAACAAAATCCAGAGGCAAAGCTCCTTCCTCTTCCCCTTCGCACAGTTCCTTTGTTTTTTTCTACTGTTATTAAGAGAGAATCGGACGTGGGAAGAAGAAGAAGAAGTTGCTGTCTGTCTGTCCTCTTCCCTTATCGATTGCGCCCGACCATCGCGTTTGATGGTCCTTATCTGTTAAATTGCTCGAGTTCGAGGTCTAAGTCGGTTCCTCGAAACTGGTGATTGGAGATGACGTAAGAGAGCCCATCTTCGCCGAGCTTGAGTTGAGCCGGCTGGTCGACGGGTTGAGGCTGTGCTGAAACCTGGGGTTGTCTTCAGATCTTCGAGTTTGGAGTATTTGGATCTCCGATCAAGTATCACCGGGCGGAGACGGCGTCCCCACAGGCCTGAAATTGCTCCTGGTATTTCGGGGCGGCGACATTCGGGTCGATTCAGTGGTATTGAAGCATCAGGCGCGGCGGATTTCATCCTCGACTCCCCGCAGCGAGCGCCGCTGCTTCGAGTATTCACTCACTGGGATAAGCGGAGCTCTGTGGGAAGGCGGTGATTGGAGATCCCAAAGACAAGATATGTGAAGTTGTGGAGAGTCTTAATGCGGATTTGCTGGTGATGGGCTCCCGAGACTTTGGTGCTATCAAAAGGTGTTGTACTTGAAAACTAAGCCATTCATTATTGGTTGATGGTGTTTGGTGATTGGGGATGTCATATACTGGTGTCCTTTTGAGCTCTAGATGTTGATGGGTTTCCTTGGATAGATTCTGTTCTGTGGACGAAGAGTTGTAGAGATAATTGCAGGGTCACAGGTTATGTAGAAGCTAATGTGTAGTATCATTTATAGTGGAAAAGTAAAACTGCACCGTCAGGAATCCCCTTCGAGGAGAAATCGATCTTTTAGTTTTGCTGGTGGGTTTCCCTTTGTATGTATGACCTTGATGTCTTTGATTCTTTCGAATCTCTCGCTCTTTTTCTCGATCTCTCCTTGTCTATGGTAACAAAATGCCCCCGCGATGAGAACGGCGGCGTGTACTAATTGGGTCTTTTAGGGTTTTATTTTTTGCCTTTTATCTTCGTTGCACCACGATGACAAAGGGTTTAACGGGGTTCAGAGTTAAGGGATAACTCTACGCTTCGCAGGTTAGTTTTGTGATAACTGGTTTTCTTAACAACTGCCACCAACCGACTACTGAATGCTGATCGGTTTGATAGTGAATTTGATTTTTTTGCTGAATGGGTTTCTCCTCATGATTTCCTGTTTTCGTCAATTTTGTCAAGGGGCATTCAATTCGATAGCACCAAGCATCTCGCCGGCAGATACCTGATTCTTGCATGCTTAACTTTGCAACCTAGGAGATCTACTACTGTAATCGAACATCAACCATTATGATGTCAGCGCCAGTTGCATTAAAAGTCCTCAGGTAAGCTTTCATCATTCTGGATTTTTGTCTTAGCATGCATTTGTTAGCTTTTGTTCTTAACAATTTGGGGGTAGCCTAATACTAATAAGGGTTTTTACTTATTACACAATTTCATGTTGTTGGTTTAATATTTTGGGTGCCGTTAGTTTAACTTATCCCAGGTGTGTGGTGTGGAATTGTAATTTCAGATTGTGTAGCCTTAAATCATTCGTCAAGTGCAGTTAATAATAGCGTAAATATGAATGTTCCCCTTACTTTTGTTCGTTTGTCATCGAGTCTGTGTGAAATTGTGATTTCATTGGTTTAAGTCGTCTATTGCAGTGTGTCATTGTGACTGTCTGCTTGCTGTTTACTAATTGCAACTAGAAGTAAATGCATTACAGAGATTTTAGGAACAGAAGGGAATTATATGGTCCTTTAGCACACCATGGCTTACACAATTTAATATTTATAATATGAGACTTAAGATTATTTGTTATGTTTGTTGTTGTGAGCTATCCTACTTTTGCTGCTAGCTTAGTTGGTTATTCCTTTCGTTCATTCAATAGAAAATATGATGTTGATTTTCATAAACATGCTCTGTAGTTAAATAACCATTTGGTTTCCCTTTGTGATTCCTTAAGATTGAGGAGGAAGAAAGAAAACTTGAGGGCACAATTTCAGAGGTCGAGTAACAGAGTGCAGAAGTAATTGCTGAACTGGAAGAATTGAAGAAGAGGTAAGTTCTCCTTCGAACTCTAGAGTTGCTTAACTGAGATTTATGTTAACTTTGTCTACTGGAGGCCGGAAGATGCATTGTCCTTAATCATTGATGTTTGTCCTCAATCACTGTAGGTACTAGAAGTAGTTCAATAGTTTTCAACTCCAGTTAATATCATATCAGGTGTGTTGCTGACTGTTCATTTTCCATATCCTTTGCCGCCCTTACAGTCATCATTTTGTGATATATTATAATGGAGGCTTTTGTTTTCAAGCTTCTGAGGTTGTTGCCATTGTTTTTCAATGAAACATAGTGACATATCACATATATAACTTTGAATGTTATGGATTACTCTCTTATGAATTACACTAGGAAGAGAGAGATGCAATTCTAGCAAAGACTGAGGTTTCTCATGCACACTTGGAGTTGTTGAAGCAAACCAACATGCTAAGTGATGATTTCCCAATCCATCATGATGTAGAGTTTGGAATCAAGAAAAAGTTCCGGCTTGGTAGACTTCCTAAAATCCTGGTAAAGTTACTAATACTATCTCGATCCCTGTACTATGTTTAGTTCTGTCTACCTATCAGGAATCAAACAATTTTGCTAATAATGGTAACCAAAAATTTATTATAACTTGGCTTATCTGGGTAATCAATGAAGTCTTTCTAAATTTTATCACAAGTAATCTATAACAGCTTAACATATAATTTTTAACCCCCTCGGTGAATTGAAACAAGAGGATTCTCTTATAATGTCGGGAGCTCTCTTAACTCATGTGTTTCTTAGTTTCCATTTCTTGAGCATGTATGGTTTGTCACTGCTCTTTTCCCTTAAGAAATGAAGCTATATTTGAATTTAAATTATTTGGTAGCTCTTTAGCCTTTTAGTTGAACATAAATCTATGAGTTCGTTTGTGTATACTTATTAAAGGTTTGAGTGTTGTGTACTTTTTAGAACACGACTCCATCAATCTATAAGAAAACATCTGACTCGACTCTACTGTCATTCCAGAAATTGGCCAAGTGAAACCACTTCCTAAAGTGTGTATAGCGGGTTTGGGTTTAATTATCAACCCGGGTCCTAGATTTGATGACTACTCAGTGAGTTCTTGTTATCTAGCAACGAAACTGGAATGCAAGTCTAACTAACAAACTAACAAAGCAGGTAAACGGTTGTATTCAAGTTAAGAGAGGTCACCCGGATATGGTTCCCCCTAGACTGCAGTTAAGCCGGATTGTAACTACCAAGTTCAGTTTCTATGATAGTTATACTGCAGAAGGTTCTCAAACAGCCTGAAGTCTCGACTAAAGGTCTTCAGACCCTCTCAATCTGACTCTCTAGCGGGCGACTAACCTCCACCGGAGTCGACAGATTGAGGCCCTAAGAACAAAACCTCCACTACCGGAGTAAATCCGGTACAGAATAGTGAGTTGGCTCCTCGACTAAAGTCACCAACTCCCTACCTTCAATCAAGGATACTCTATTAACCTAGGCAGATATTCTCATTCTAGGTTAAAGCAGAAACAACAAGAATTTGATCAGGATTCAAGTCATTCAATCATTAAAACCTCAATCGAATATAATCAATCACGGAATCAGTACTTGGGTTCATACAATCAAAGCCTAACATACAAATCTAGGGTTCTCCATACCCAGATGAATGGGAGAACTACTCCATGGAGAAGAAAGCAAAAGCAGAATCAGACACGGAATTCATACTGCGAAGGATGGATTCCTGCTTCTGGACGTTGATCGGCACTTCTCCAAGCTCAAACTGGCCTCCAATGGTGTTGAAGATCAATCTAGGGCGCTTGGAGACTCTTGTTCGTCACTTTCTCTCTCTAGGAACTGATCTCTCTCTCTAAAACTCGAATTTCCTTGAATTGTGGCTGAAAATCTGCTTAAAAGCATCAGTGGCCAAAGCACGGTCGAGGGCACGGCCGTGTAATGCCTCAGCCCGCCCGTGTTTTGGCTAGTGTTAATTACACTAGGAGAAACACGGCCGTGCTTTGGTGGAACACGGCCGTGCTTTGTCTCGGCCCTGCCCGTGTAATCAGCTCAGCTCTCGGCATAAAAAGCACGGCCACAAGAACACGGCCGTGTAATGATTTAGGTGTGCCCGTGTTTTGGCTCCAGCTCACCGAAATGACTTCCGATTGCCCCGAAACTCGCG